ATTTATCTGTATATGGTGTCTGTAATCTATGGTTTGCTTTTCTAATCTATTTCACTGATTCTATTTGTATTTTATGGACTGCTGCCTTTATAGGGAGAGGCCAGTGGCTTCCATAAAATTCAGATGAGTTGATGTCGCTTGTTTGTATTTATTTGTATTTCTGAGTGTAACAGGATTGGAGAGGTTAATTTCTTTTGCTGCTCTCATTTATGTGAGGAAAAAGTACAAGACCTTAAAAAAATACAGAGGGCAGAGAAATATATTTTTGTGGAAAAAAATGCATTTTTCAGGGTTTTTTTACTATATTCCTTTGCAGTGTATTGTATTTTCCTTTTTAAAGCCCAAATAAATTTTCTAAAAAACCCTTAAGTGGTGCAGAAGTTTAAAGAAGGAATCCTAGAGCCTTGAAAGGTATTAATGTATAACTTCTAGAATTTACAGAGGAATCTAAAAACACCACATAGTTTACTTAGACCTTTATTCAGAACCAAGTGGGGAACTAGGGATCTCTTCTTTGATTATCTAAATGATAGTGAGTTTAGATCATTTAAGTGATTTTTAAATCTTGTATCTCTTTTTTGCATGTGAACTCAGTACTCACCAGTGGGAGGTCAGTGGCTCAGCTCCCTTTGCCAAAAATCTAAGAATAACTTACACTGTGATTTCCCAAGTTCTGTTTGTACATTCTGACATACTTGGCTTATATTTTGGTTTTCTTTGGTGGTTCCTTGTGATAGTGATATGGCAAAAGAAGCCTCTTATGTTTAGAATGAAAGCACCCAGGCAAGGTTGATGAAACAAGCATAAATTAGTAGATATGTAGATAAACTGGATTATACCCTGGTGTATATAATAATGTGTGTTGTAAATGTAACTGCAGTGGAAGTGTCTCTCAAATGTTAACCAGGCTCAGGGAATGGCTGTCCACCAAGGGAGTATCTTCAGGCCACCTTAAAATCTGTCCTGCAAATTTTGCACACAGGTGTACGGTTGCTGTTTTCTTTCCATGAGAGTTTTGTGTTGTTCTGAAGTGGCCAATTATGGAATCAAAATGAAAAATGATATTACTTTGGGTAGAATATTGGCATAGAAGTGCTGAGAGTTTGTTAGTATCTATTTGTAAAACATTTATTTTTATGGAAGTATTTTTAGCTATTGGCCTCATTCCCAACTACAGATGATGAAATGGGAAGAGAACTACCATGACCCATACACTTCTTCTGTTTCCAAGAAACCTATCTAAACAAATTTTGTCCTCTCAGTTAAAATAACAACAAAAAAACATATGTCAAAGATGTCTAATTTCAGGTTTATTTTAAATAGGGAAATGCGGATATATACTTTGAACAGGCAGTGGAAATAGTGATTCCATTACTGGTATTTTATGCAGGATTACTGCCCCTGGACACATTCTGCAAACCTGATTTGTGTTTTCTGACATGTCTTATGCTGGACAATCATATGGAGAAATATAAAGGAGGAAGTTCTCTGTGGAAGTACAATCCTATTTCAAGAACATTTTAACTAAGTAACAATTTATTCCCGGCATAATAGAATTAGAGTTTTTGAAAGCCAGAATCTATTATGATAATTCAAAAATATTTTAAATATAGCTATTTTTACTTCTGTGGCACCCATATTTTTGCATAAGTGTATTTTGTGCACTGAAGCTTGCTAGGTGGTTTCTCATTTACTTTGCTCTTTTGAGCCTCAATTCAGCCACTAAAAGTTTATATCAAAGTACAGTTAGTTTGTTCTTAGAGACAGGTATGTACTTTCCCTCATCAGTGGTCCAGTGATAATAAGTGACAGCTGTTAATGCTCATATAATGAAATAAATTTATTTATAACTGCTACTCTGTTTGAATATAAATGGTATTAAAAGTGCTATGGTATGCTATTTTGAACAGTTGTAGCTCACTAATTGTCTAGTCAGTTGGTTCGGAATCAAGCTGTTTTATTGAAATGTTCAAACATTTCTTTTATTGCATTTAGTTTATAACTTTCTCAGTTTCTGATATGTCTTATGTCATGTCTGTTGTTGCTGACCCTAGCAAAGAAATGGTAAATCTCCATAAGAGATGGCTTGGTCATTGCTCTGAGCCCTAGACTTGGAATTTGACTTTGTCATATAGGTATGTAAAATTCCCATAATGCAGTTAGTGAAGGAAACAGAAAACTCCAGTTTAAATTTCATCTCTTGTGGTTTTATTTATCTACTTATTTTAAATTATTCTTAACTTTTTTTTTTGTTTGTTTGTTTGGGTTTTGTTTTTTGTTTTCTAATTTTCCTGTAGGAAATGCTCCACAGCCTGGGTGGAATTGAAAGTCTAGCTCAGGTAGAAATCCCCATAGTACCTTTGTCCTTTATGTTACATATCAGTTTATTATGATTAGAATGATATATACTGTAAAAAGCAGTGTACAGATATTCTTGGTTTATGGGGAGAAGTGGCTCTTCCTCAATTTTCCCATGAGCAGTTGGTGTGGGTTTTTTCACTAGTGTTCAAAACAACTGTCCTATAATCTAACTGCATTCATCTAGGTCTTCTGGTTAGGAGACTTAAGAAATGCCTCCTGAAGTGGGAGAATTAGAAAAGTCAACACAATTGGTTCAGTCCAAAGAAACTGTAGACTTTTGAATGGACATGAGAAAAGTCACCCTGCACTGTAGCAAATGACTTTGCAAAGAGAAAAGTACACTGCATA